GGACAACTCATTGGGTAATTTGAGTGAAGATAGGAAAAAGACAGAACATGTGTTTATAACTTTATGATACGCTCTATCTTTTCTAATTTTATAATTTGTACAAAATGATTATTAAAGTTTGTTTTTGCTTCTAATAATGTTCTAATGTATCAAACATTTTCAATTGAAAATTTATAAATATCTTGGAAGGTCTTTTAGTAGGAAAGAGTATAGAATTGATTTCATCCGTTCCAAGTAGGCTTAAAAATGGCAAATGAAAAAAAACATTTGTTATGGTTTCATCTTCAGCGTCCGGGTCACTTGTCTTCATTTCCTGTCCTTCGGGATATAATATCAAAGGACCCAATGTCCTTCAATGTGTAAATGGACAGTGGGATCCATCTCCTCCTACGTCCTGTGTTAAAGCTCAACCACCACGAACAGATGTTCATAACAAAGTAGATGTCAAGGATGTTGGAGGCACTATTACGATAACATTGGACCTATTCATGTCCATACCGTAAATCTGGAATTTTTTACGTCGATTTTATTTTGCGAATCCGGGTCAAAATGCTGTTGATTAATATTTACGTTTCAAAATTTTGCGAATGACCACTACTTTGTTTACATTTTTTTGGTGTTGAATTATTTTTATAAAAATATGTTTTGCGAAGGATATGAACTCGCAAATTTGCTAAAAATTAATCTACAGCAAAAATTTCCAGATTTACGGTATGTAAAATAGATAGACATTTAACAGAGTTATGTACTGACATGCACAATATGGATGTTAAAATGCAGAGAATAGGTTTAATGTTGACATACATACATAGCTCGTATGTTGACGTAGTTAACTCGCATGCCAGCATACTTTGTACATTTGCATAATTATATTGCATATTTATATAATTTTGTTGCATGAAGGGAGCAGAAATTATAATTGGGTTTCGGTTCTAGACAATTTTTTTTAATGATATTCAGTGGCATATTTCTTCAATAAAAATGTTGCAATAAGAAATGGAGTAGGAAAGAAAAATAAACGCTTATTACATATTTATCATAATTCATTTTATATCTTCAATATCATTTTATTTCTTCAATAAAAATGTTGCGATAAGAAATGGAGTAGGAAAGAAAAATAAACGCTTATTACATCTTTATCATAATTCATTTTATATTTTTTTTTTTTTTTTTTTTTTTTTTTTTTTTTTTTTTTTTTTTTTTTTTTTTTAGAAATTTAGCACTCCGAAAAATAAGAATGCGTCCTTATGTTTTAAAACTCAGATTTCAAACTGGTGCCTATAAACATTAATAAGGTTATATTAATAATGATATGCAACAAAATTTCAAGAAGGCTAGGTTTATGTAGTTAACATTACATTTTTTTTAAACTAATTCCTGATATTCATACTAGCAAAAAAAAAAAATCGAAGGATTTAATCATTAGGTACATTTATTGAGTACTGTGTCAACTTCTTACACCAGACACCAAATGTTAATTTTGTTATATTAATTGGGCTCATCTGTGAAATTACTGAATGCTTCAATGTAAATGTACCTCAGGTAGTTATTTTGGTTTTAATCTATATATGTACAAAGTTTCATCAATATATTATAATATAAATGTTCTACAAAACTACGTATATCTACGGAATTTCTTGACAAAACTTTGGTTACACAAAGTATGAATTTGTTCAATCCACCATATGTTAGAAATAGGGAAATGTGGTGTACGAAATTCAATGTACATGCTGCATTTCCTGAGACAAGCTATGATTTAAGAATTCCTAAAATGTTTTATTTATGTTATCTGTTCCACAGCTGAAAGTAGGGTAATAATGTTTCAATTGCTATTAAATTGTAACTTTGCATGTACAGGAAAGTTTGATTGACAATTTAATGTCTTGTATTGATTAGCATTGATGAAATTACAGCAGATGCTCCAAGGAATAGACGAGACAAGATTAATTAAAATGACGTAAAATTTACAAACGGTCAATTCTATGTGACTTTTCCAGGTCTTTATTTTGATAATATTTTTTTTTCTCTCATTTTTTAAATGAAATTTTACAGGTATTTTGCTTATCAAAATTAAGTGTTTCAATTCTGTTTATAGAGTTCATTTGAATAAATCTTCGATGCATTTTTTTTATCGACGCACATGACATTCTAACCCCTTTAGCAAGTTTTCATTCGTGATTGTATATAAATAATATCAAATATATATTCAAAATATGAAGTAACCAAAATGAAAAAAAATCATTTTACAAATAAGACATTGCAAGTGCTATTCGTATCCCACACAAGAAATTTATTTAAAAAAAACGTTTTATTTATGTACTCGTAACAAATATAGTACGGTTTGGATGCAAATTCAACATCTATTTATTAAGGTTTGGACAGTCTATTGTTGCAAATTTCTGAATCTTGTAGATTCTCACAAATTTTCATTAATAGGCTCAATATCCAATTCACTAAAGTTCAAAATTATTTCGCTTTATTATTATTTGGAGTTGGTGTTCATCTCCAATTTTTTTTTTCAAAGATATACATTATATAGGCATTGAACATTGGTGTGAAGGTCTAGGCCACCACTTGCAGCAGACACATTGCAATGTCGAAAATGGGTAAGTGGTAGTGACTGGAAGAAAAAGTACTGAGAAGTTCGATCCTGACATGTCAATGGTCAAAATCCGGTAAAAGAAATGCTTATAAGGAATTACCGCTGACTTCTATATTTGAAGATTTACTTTTACACTAGTACAATGTATGGAAGCTCTCTAACGATAGAAATATTTAGAGAAACATTTAATTTAACAAAATTATTGGATTATTTTAAAGCACACATAAGTTGCTCTTGAAGAAAACGACAACCATCCTACTCTCAAACCGGCCGTCACATTTTAGTGCCCTTAACATCACGCCCATGACCATTAGAAAGGTTTTCCTATCAATTATCAATTCTGTATCTCCGTACATGACACAGATTTTAATGTCAACCTAAACCGTCAACTATAAAAGTCGATGCTTCTTGTAAAATGTCATTACAAACAAATGCATGCAACAAAAATCAGTTGTACTTCATAGATGTAAAGATTCTCCGGCCTTCATTCAGAATAAGATTTAACTAAAGAGCGTCAGGACATTTTTCTCGTTAAATGAAATGAATATTTAAAAATTCAACTAAATAAAAGTCTTAAAATATTTTTGCGAGAAACACTTTTACTGACTTTTACTGTTGACAGTTTATTTTGAAATTTAAACCTGTGTCATGTACAGAGGTACAGAATTGATAATGGATTTTAAAAAAACTGTCCAGTGTTCAAAGGTATGGTGTTTGGAAAGGGCGGTATTTGTGGGCATAGTGCTTGTCAAATTGTTCATAGCCAACTTATATGTGCTTTATTTCAGCCCGTTATTTTCGTTTAAATAAATGCTTAATATTTTTATCACAAATGAGCTTCTTTATATCGTCTAAGTGTAAAAGTAAGCCGCGCAGTATTTTTCTGCCGAGCTCCAATTTATAACGGAAATCAATGTTTTACTTAGTGGTTATGTGCTTTTATGTACATGTATTCTGTGCAGCAATTGACAACTCTTAAAATTCCTATATTTTCATTGGAATTAAATACCCCCTTATTTTTTGTTAAATGTGCCATTTATCTAGTTGAATAATCCATTTGTCAGTGGTGTATGTTCCTATAAAAACGAGAGAGAAATTTGAAAACCTCAGACAAGCAACGTGCTCGCAAAATTTGACTTATCTCTGAGTAGTGAGAACAACATTTAAGGATATATTCAGGTAAATGCATGAAAACTGAGCTGGTAACACACACACCAATCTAGGTTGCTGTGCCTTTATAATTCCTGTTTTGTCTAAAACACTAGAATACATTCATCATCAAAATAATAAGAATCACAACAAATACTTACAGTACGATATAATAAGGACCTATACAAACTACAGTATTATTAAAGCCATATATGGCGTAACTGATCAAAAAAATATATTTTTGAAAGATACAAATTTAAGTAAAGAAATATAGTTAATACATTTAAATTAAACTTTTCATACAATTCAGAACACGGAGAACACCTCATTTCATCTAAATATACGATTTTATCTTCTCTGTAATGTGTTATTTTAATCTTTTGTATTTTCTTCCGAGTCGGAGAAAATTCCGAGAATCCAAATGAAATTGTGATATCTTTATAACTCAATTGACTTAGATTTTGTAATTTACGGAAAAGTTCTATCTTTATATAAAGTAATGATACAAATCATAAGTTCTTATAATTTTAGTCTAATAATTTTCATTGTACATACGCCATATATGGCTGTAATGAATTTTCAAAATACAGTATAGAGAAAAGAACATCATTTACATTAATTGAACAAGCTGTCAGTCATTCATGAAACAACTGCTTCAGCTTCAATTTAAAGTTCGCGATCTAACAAATTATACATTGTTACATGTAACTTGATTCAAAATCTTTACTGCTTTACGATTTATGGACTTGCAAACCTATTCTATAACAAAGTCGTTTCAAACTCGAAAATAAGTAGAGTCTGAGAACTTCTCCAACTCTGAGTGATAGACCAAAGTCTACGCTGCAAGATTTTACAAAGTTGTTAGTTCAACAGGTATAAACATTCAACAAATGGCTAGCACCAGTGATATACTAAGGTAAATTGACGGTAAAATCACGATTTTTTTTTTTGCAAAATATCAATTTCTTCTGGTCAATGGTTTTCAAATACTCAGCTGAAAACTATTTGACTGCTAGTTGATCACTTCAGTATGAATTTCTTTGGTTGCGTCCTATAATAAGATGAAGACTATACACTCAGGGAACACATAAAGAACATTTTGTTAAGTTCGATGGACTACAAAATTAAAACTAAAGAAATCAGATAAACTTTAAGGAAGCATATTTTCCTCTCCTAATCCATCTACAGACAAATCAAAAGAAATGCATGATATTGTTTTTTTTTTCCTTCTCTCAAAGCATATGGAAAATCACTCCATCGGATGTAAATCGTTGTTTGGTAAATCCTTATATAATGAAATAACGCTATCAATAACGGCTCCAACTTTGCTGAATAAGCCTATTTCATGCTCGATATCATCTCGTATTTTATCCCGTACTTTTTCTTTTTTTTCCCTTAATTTCTCGTTTGTGTCTCTGATCATCTTTTCCTTTTCGTATTTTGACATAAATTTCTTTTCCATTTCCCGTAACTCTTTATCTCTTTCTTCTTTTGCTTTTTTAACTTCTTCTTTTTCCCTTTCTTTGATAAGTTTTTCAGCTTGGATATACATTTCATCAGTGTAACATTCTCCATTATTATTTTCTGTATTTTCTAAAATCATTGACAAGAGCTCTTCAACTTGAGCATTTGTTTGTTCGCCCTTCAGCCTATTGTTAAATGCAAGTACTCTTCCCCCACAGCGCTTGATAAATAATTTTAATTCCGGTGGAACTGTTTGAATATGCTGTAACAAAGTTCTATTTTCTTCGTCTAAATCATCCTTGCGGGTGAATAGAACAATAAAATATTTAAATATGTCTTTCCCAAAATGTTTGACGAAGTGCATCGTTGTGTTGTGTTCCTCTTTTGTATATCTAGTCAAGGACAGGACTAGAATAAAAGCGTGAGGACCTGGTGATGTAATGCTGATGCATTTGACTATTTCATTTTGTATTTCTTTATTTGAATGCTTGGTATCAAAAATCCCCGGTGTATCAACAATTAATAGTTTCCTGTCAAATCGAAAAGCGTGCTTTTGGGAGCATTTGCTTGTAACAGATGACCCGGATACACCAGATTCAAATACTTTCTTACCAAGAATTGTATTTCCGGTGGCACTTTTCCCACATCCTGTTTTTCCTATCAACACGATCCTAATTTCTTTTTCCAGACAATCTACAAAGTTAAAATAGATTATTGAATAGATAAAAAGTAAAAAAATAAAATAAAAGTCCTTTAAAACAAAAACAAACTCAACGTTTTCAAAAAATATCCAATGTAAAAACCCTTCGAAATATTATGAAAGAATAAAGGGATTTACTGTTAAATGACTTATAAATTATCGTCAATTCAAAATTTAATGATGGTTTGAGTTAAATTTGGACGATTGCATTTTTTGGTTTAAGTTGTTTTAGGAAAACTAATCGGAAATTAACTTGTGGACCATTAAATACCACAAAAACATCGAAAGTTTATTAAACGAAAATTAATAATTTTACGGCATAAAACTTTTTTTCTTCCTTTTTCTAGCTTAAAACCTTGAACAAATAATAACTTCGTTTTTAATATATTGCCGAGAGAGCTTTACCTTGAAAGATTAAACAATTTGATGAAACAAGCAAGTTAAGTGGTATAATGTGTATAGAGCCTATGCTTATTACACAAGCGCCAACATATCCCAGCTTTTTTACAAACGCAACAAGAAATGAGAAATCCGAGTGGTTAAGGTAGGTCCGTACTTTCAGAATTTTCTGTCAAACTAATAATTTTTTTTCAATTTGAATACCTTGAATAAGTCTTTAACTTAGTAAAACACTCATAAAAGCCATATTTTGCAAGTTAATTTTCATACAACGTGTCTCAGCGCACATACCTCTAAAAACTCAAAATTGAATATAAAAAGTGTGATATCATATTTCTCTTAGTTATGCACCAAATCACATCAAATCTATGTTAAAACTTATGAAGATCAAAAATATTCATTTGCAAAAAGAATATTTAAAATCTTTACTGCAAAAAAATAACAAATTGGCGTTGAATCTGTCCATGTCTTTCAAAAAAAAATTCTCAAAATATCTTTATTTTTTATAATTCTCAAAATTCAAAATGTTTTGATGCCATTTTTTCTTTAAAACTATTAAAAATTATATACAATGTTAACAAAAACAGCTACTTTATTATGGTTGACTAGAGATTTTTAACAAAACTTTTGAAGACGTTACCCCATTTTTGGAATATAAATTTTTCAATTATTCAATGCAAAATTTTTAAAAAGTAAAAATTAAATGGATGATATAGGCTCTAAATCAATAAAAATAGATCTCAGGTTAGTTTGCTTAAAAGAAAATTAAAAAGATTTTGGTCCATAAAAGCATTTAGAATTTTGTGTCTGTGTATGTACTAAATGACTTATAGATCTAATGGACAGAGTGCAAAATGTTAATTTCCATAAATGATATATATTAAATGCTTCATATGCACAATACCACAAAAAAAAACAAATATATACTTGCTAAATTATTTTCAATCACCCAAAAAGATTTATATCAATAGAAAAGTGAAAATCAGAATTTTATATTGATGTGTAAAATTAGAAGCGGATCCGTAAAAGTGTGGGTCTTCCTTAACTGTAAATGTTCAGAAAATCAGAAATCTCGTGATTTATACAAAATCATAATTCAAATTAGTCAAGAAATTTTGCACATATCTGATTTCTTTAAGCAAAAGAACATTATTCTTTATTGTAATAGAGACGTTCAACAAACACTTCTCACTTCCTTTTTGGTGCCCCAGTTCTTATAAACTAATAAAAAGCGAAACTTTCTGTTTTTAAGACTTATATTTAGCAGTATTTAGGGGTACGAGAATTGTTCGAAAATTCGTGGACAATGCCAATCTTTGCTTTACTTCTCACAAAAATCTAAATAACCATTATATCAAGTGTAATAGATTTAAAAGAAATGAATTAACTTTATTTTAAAATCAACATGTTCTGTAACCACGGAGCACACGTAACGGCGAACTCTGAAGGGTACAATTATTTCCATGACGCTACGGATTTTGAAAGTTTTTGTTCAGATTTGTACAATTAAATCATTAGTTGACAGATTTTCCTAATCCGATACAGAGTCATTTACACAATTGCACACGCTTGTTTTGTGACTTCTGATTCATCTATTTTTTTTTTAGAGATTTTCCAGAGTATAACAGAAAATTGCATCATTATCTGCTGTTCCGAGACGTTCTACCATATCATTGTTTTTATCCTTTTCAATAATGACTGTCTAGATTCTTAAACTGATTTTTTCAACGAAGAAAAATATTAAACCATAACCTAGAATATGAATCGATGTAACAGTTTTCAATGTAAATGTCTAGATTGTTTCTTCCTTCGTTTTGCCCAATTTTAAAGAGAATATTGCTACAGACATACATGTATTTAGTGTATTGTCTGTAAATTACGAAATTTTGACCTATGGCGGGGTCCAATTTTTGCATTTTTTTTATTCTAGATAACTTTAAAAAGTAAATGATATCTTAAATGTTATAAATACAAATCATTTGAATTTGTTATGAATATGAAATCAGTTGAATACAATATTTCTACTAAATTTGATAACATATGAAGTTTGATAAAAAAAAAAGATATAGTAGAAGTCCATTAATTGTCCGAGAAAATCTCTTATAATTATGAAAACAAAAATATAACAATGTGAGCTTAAAAAAGTGGTTATACGAGTATAGTGTATGTGCACGCACGATGATTTGATAATCATATGCATGTAATTCGTCTCAATGTTCAATATAATTCAGAACTACAGGGAGTGATCAAAATCGGGAACAACTTATAAGATTATCTATAAGAAAACAGAACGGAAACTTAAACGCATATGAAGGAAATATGCTTGATTACTTGAGAAAACATAATACAAAACATTTTATCCCATTTTTAAGATGAAAAGTAAGCGCATACATACATGTACTTCTGTGCCCAATGAAGATTTTTTAACCATTTGAATATCTAGTATCTTTAACTAATGCTGAATTAGATAATGATAACAATTTCGGGATGGATACATCTTCGGAAGAATTAGACCAAATAATCACCGAGAAGGAAATTGATTAATTGATTGAATGTATATTGTTTAACGTCCCTCTCGAGAATTTTTAACTAATATGAAGACGTCACTAAATGCCGATGAAGGGCTTCAAATTTAGACCTATCCTCGGCACTCAGGGCCATTGAGCAGTGAGGGTTCTTTATCGTGCCAGCGCCTACCGTGACACGGGATCTACATTTTTAAGGTCATATTAGAAAGACCCGTGATTTTGACTTCTCATGCCGCGCTCTTGGCGAAGGAACAGTCACTACCTATTTTTTCCTCTTAGGTTTGACGCGTCGCCGCGAACGAGAATCGAAAAACTGTGGAGGAAAATATTTAGTATTGGTATTCAAGGGAAAATGTTTAAAGAAAATTAAAGCATTGTATCAAAGTATAAAATATTGTGTAAAATACAATGGCTTATTTAGTGAATATTTCACTAGTTATACCGGACTAATGCAAGGAAATGATTTTGAGATCAATTTATTAAATAAAATTGTCAATGTATAGATGTACAAAGAAATAAGTTTGTTTCTTCTCATGTATACAGATGATATTGTGATTATGTCTGAAAGACCAGAGGGTTTACAACAAATGCTGAATTCTTTATGAATTATAGTGCTATATGGAATCTTACAGTTAATCTTCAAAAGACAAAAATAATTATTTTCATAAATGGTGGTGAGAATAGAGAGAGTGAAAAATGAACTTATGATAACGAAATAGTTAATATTGTTGACGATTTTAATTATTTTGGAATGCTTTTTAATTATAACGGAAATTTTTTGAAAACTCAAAAACACGCTGCAGATCAAGGTAGAAAGGCTTCATTTGCTATTTCTAATTCTTTAAAAGCACATGCATTTAATGTTGAAACACGATTATCAGTCTTTGATACTTACGAAAGCAGTGTACTTTTAAACGCATCAGAGGTATGGGGATGGCATAAAGCAACTGATATTGAAAAATCAATCTTAACTAGTGCTAATTGTAACGGGAACCGTTACAGATGTTCCCCAAACGCTCCCCAAATCCCTTTTGATGCCATATTCCCTGTACGCTTCATTTAGTACATGTAAGACAACATCTGTGCATTTTTTACTTTAACAACGTTTTCCGAAAAGGATACCAATTATATTCAAATTTTAACATTGCACGCGTGCCCATTGAATGCACGTGCGTAATGATCATATAATCTTGTCTACACTTTCTATATATTTAAATATACTTTATATTAAAGCATTTAGTCCAAAAGTATTTAAAAAATCACTCATTTAAGTGTATATTTAATTTCACTCGTTCCAAATGCACGCACGTGCGTGCACATGCATGATGACCATACCCTCTTGTAGGAGGCCCTTATATCTATCTATGTTCTAAATCCCATCCTGTTTGGTTGAAAACCAAGGGAATTATAGCCATTTCAAGTTTCGGCCAATCAGATTGTAGCACACGTGCATCCACGTGATTTCAAGAATCTTTTTCTAAATCATATTGTAGAATATCCTAATGCATGACTATGTTTTAAATTTCAAAGCATTTCGTCAAAAAACAAAGGAGATATAGCCATTTAAAGTTTCAGCCAATCAGATTGCAGCACACGTGCATGCGCGTGATTTCTTGAAATTTTTTGCATATCATATTGCAGGATATCCTAATGCGTGACTATGTTTTAAATTTCAAAGCATTTCGTCAAAAAAACAAAGGAGATATAGCCATTTAAAGTTTCAGCCAATCAGATTGCAGCACACGTGCATGCGCGTGATTTCTTGAAATTTTTTGTATATCATATTGCAGGATATCCTGATGCGTGACTATGTTTAAAATTTCAAAGCATTTCGTCAAAAAACGAAGGAGCTATAGCCATTTAAAGTTTCAGCCAATCAGATTGCAGCGCACGTGCATGCGCGTGATTTCATGAAATTTTTTCCATATTATATTGTAGGATATCCTAATTCATGACAATGTTTAAAATTTCAAAGCATTTCGTCGAAAAACAAAAGAGATATTGAGATTTTTGTTTCAGCCAATCAGAGTGAAGCGCACGTGCATGCGCGTGAGTTCGTGCTAATT